CTTAATATTTTCTATATGAATGGCATCTTAGTATTTGGTGATGAAATTTCTACTAATCGCAAAAGCAGTGTTTAAATTTGGTAAAGTTGATAATGTAGATTTATATGATAAGTTTCTGACGATAGTTACAGTTGTCAGACTACATTTAACTGATGTTTAAGTTGTAGACTAACAACAATCCTTACTTGTCTCATCTTACTGGAACTGAATGTTGGGGTCAGGAGACTGCGAACTTCCTTCCAGTGCTCCCCCCGTTGCAAAGTCAATTGTGATTTTAACTCATTAACTGGCTGCGCACCTCCAGGGATGAGCATCTACAGAGATAAGCAAGATATTATACTTTTTAATCACTGGATAAGATACGATTGCTATAAAGATCACACAGTTTCATGAAAACGTATACAGCATGGTGTTCTGGGCTTACACTAGTAATGTTACTAATAACCTAAAAACGATACATATATATAGAATAAAGGAAAGGATGAAAAGTTATCTCACAACTATTAATTAACTATTGATTAAAATATGTATTTATTCCAAACTTTTCCTAACAAAAGTCTAATTTGAATATATTGCTTCTTAATGTAGGTTATCCACTTTTGAACAGTGGAACATTGTTTTACTAATTGAACTTATTGTTCTATTTTTTTTTTTTTTGTACGTGACTCTTTCTTACCGGTCTACCTGTAAACTTTTGGAAATCTTTAATTTGTATTTGTTTCAAGAGGTCCAAATCCGATATGATAATGATAGGTAAGCGTCCATAATAGAATCTAGAAAATAAATTTTATCGTATTTAGTAAATAAATTATACAGTTTTATAATGTTTTGTTTGGTAGATTCTATTTACTAACATAGTGTGTAAAAACGTACGATGTCTAAAATATATTTATATAAGACATGATCTCAGTCGAGTATTAAAACAAAACCTGATATTCAGGTAAAAATGGGTATTAGTATATCAAATGTTATATTTATCTATCTAGGATAACCTACTGTTAAATATAATCAATATTATTGCTTTGTTAATTCAATAGTTAAAATGGTGCATTTTTTACCTTATATTTACTTCATTATATCAATTAATTTAATATCTTAAAATACACATTAGGACTAAAATATCTAAATTCCTTTTCATACTTGCTAGCTTGCATAAAGAAGCAACAGTTTTCAATCGAGAGATAATAGTAAAATCATCTTTAATATTTATACATTCTGTATTCTAACATCAGCTCAGTGAAGTTTAGTGAAAAGTTTAAACTTACGTTCAACAGGTGGCGCTATGTGTAAGATACATCGAAATTCAATTGTACAAAAACATATATTTTCGTTTTTTCAATCTATGAAAGAAACTTACCCACAAATCTTTTCCATATTTTTTTATCCATTCTTCTTGACATTTAATAGCACCCTTTAAGAACAGAACAAAAAACCCATTCATTATTTCTCCTGATTACAAAATCAAATCTTAGCCAACACTGTAATCTATCAAATATACTTATGATAAACTTCGAGAACTTTACAATTCACTTTTGAAAATTACTTAAGCGTTGTTCCAATTCAGTTTTGAGAATTACTCAGACTACAGTGTTGAACAGTTTTCAACTTTATTGACTACTTTTATTGACCTTCATTAATACGATATTGACAGTAGATATTTAACAATTTAATTTGGCGTTGAACATTGTTGGTTAACCCATCTTATGTAAAGAATTTGATTATAGAAGAAGAACAATTACGGGCAGTATTGTAATATTGTTGGTTTAGTGTATGATTAGCTTACTTATGTATTGCTTTTCGTGGTCTATTATTGCAGCAGTTGTTTTTACAGCATTGTTCCTTTCGACTGTTATTGGAGCACAAGCTTGTGCAAAGTTGTGTGTTTTATTGGAGTAGTAGTTTGTACAAAATTGTTTCTTTGGGTCAGTTATTAGCTATTCCTCTAAACTTAGTCCTGTGTCTCTTCCACGTGCAGAGTTGTGTGCTTTGATCTTTTGTTGCAGTAGTACTTTGTACAAATTTGTGTGTCTTGATCTTTTGTTGCAGTAGTAATTTGTGAAGAGTTGTGCGTTTTGTTCTTTTGTTGCAGTAGTAATTTGTACAGATTTGTGTGTTTTGATCTTTCATTGCAGTAGTAATTTGTACATAGTTGTGTGTTTTAATCTTTTTTTGCAACAGTAATTTGGGTAGAAATGTATGTTTTGGTCTTTTGTTGCAGTAGTAGTTTGTACAGAGTTGTGTGTTTTGTTTGTATTTTGTTGCAGTAGTAGTTTGTGAAGAGTTGTGTGTTTTAATCTTTTGTTGCAGTAGTAGTTTGTGCAGCGTTGTGTGTTTTAATCTTTTGTTGCAACAATAATTTGTGCAGAGTTGTGTGTTTTGGTCTTTTGTTGCAGTAGTAATTTGTGTAGAAATGTGTGTTTTGGTTTTTTGTTGCAGTAGTAGTTTGTACAGAGTTGTTTGGTCTTTTGTTGCAGCAGTAGTTTGTGCAGAGTTGTTTCTTTGGATCGGTTATTAGCCGAAATGCTAATTCTGTCAACTTATTCCTGTGTCTCTTACTCTTTGGTGGACAAATCATAACACAATTGTCTTAATTGCACCTGTTTCACTTTTAAAAAAACATTAACCAAAGTTTCAGATCTTATAACGTAAAATTCTCATGTACTAACTAGTCTTTGTAAATCACCTAAAGTTCCAAGAACCTTTATTTCAAAACTTTTAATAAAAAGTTTATGATTTCTGTGACATGCTTGCTAGGCTTTAGAAAAAGAGGTAACATGTCTGTACAACTGCCTCAAGGATGGAGTTCTAGTTAAACTTCAACCTGGTTTACAAGTTCTTCAATTCTTTTAAATATTAGGTTTCAAGTAAATTTATCAAAACCTTTGCTTGAAATTCCTTCAAATTTCCGAAAAAGAAGTTTGGTTTTGGTCCTGGGATGCCAAGGTCTTGAAAGAAAGATAACTTTTTCTGTCGCCATCTGGAACGAAACAAGACAGAACTTATTCTCTCTAATCTAACAATTCATAATCATTTCACAACAACATTATACTTTTCATATTTTTTAAAGCTAATCTCTTAATTCATATCCTGAAATACAAATATTTTAATCCTTTAACTTAAGTCGGACAAATTAAATATGTTAAAGGTTTATTTAATAATTTTCTTCTTCTTTTAAAAAATGTAATTATCAACAGTTTTTGTTTCAAAGACTTTTTTTTAAATATGACTAGGCCTTAGCTAAGCACCAATAACTTCGTCCTTCGATATTTCTTATCATGTGGTTTTTACAAAGACTTTTTTTTAAATATGACTAGGCCTTAGCTAAGCACCAATAACTTC